CACGTTCCCTACTTTTGACGCACTCCCCAATATAGGATGTGACCAGGTGTTATGTCTCATTGTGCGTGTGTGTTTGCGCGCTTGTGTGTGCGTGTGTGTTTGCGCGCTTGTGTGTGCGTGCGTGCGTGCGTGCGTGCGTGCGTGCGTGGGTGTGTGTGTGTGTGTGGGTGGGCGCGTGGGTGGGTGGGTGCGTGCGTGCGTGCGTGGCGGGCGGGCGGGCGGGCGGGGGCGGGTGGTGCGTGCGCGCGTGCGTGCGTGCGTGCGTGCGGGCGCGCGCGCGCGTGGGTGGGTGGGTGGGTGGGTGTGTGTGTGTGTGTGTGTGTGTGTGTGTGTGTGTGTGGGAGTGTGTGTGTGTGTTTGTGTGTGTGTGTGTGTGTGTTTTTTTGTGCCTCTCTCTCTCTCGCTCTCTCTTTGTCTCGCTTTCTCTCTCTCTCTCTCTCTCTCTCTCTCGCTCTTCGTGCCTTTGCGTGTCTCTGCGTGTGTGTGTGTGTGTGTGTGTGTCTTTGTGAGTGGTTGTCGGCCTCTGTCTGTGTGTCTCCGACAATCCGCGCACGAAATGTAACATCATTTTGCCCAGATTTCCATTGTGGTCCGCTGATGTGATTATGCCATACAAACACGAGAGCAACAAAACACATTTTGAGCTGGTGCCAAAACGATCCTAAAAGAGAAGAATGCCACCACTGCTGGTGGTCAGGGTCCACCCCATGCGCGCCGACATTTGGACCTCGGGCTTGCTTGTGCTCACACCTCGGGCTTGTCGGCTGAGGCAGACGGCTACATGCCCTCTGATCCACTTCCGCAGGCGGATATACCATGCACGCCATGCACGGCGGCAAAGTTTTTTTTTATACATGGTATGGGTCAAGATTAAACCACCAGGAATCGGACCGTAAATTTTAGTCTATCTTTCCATTTACCAGGGTAACCCATTTTGGGTACCTACCATGTCAATATTCCGATCTGGTGTTGTGCAGGTGGTTCCGCAATTTCCGCCGAACTTGCCCATCCAGACCTACGCGTCTCTAGCTCAGGGAGGGTGCAATCCCAAGAAAAGCCTCAGCTCAAAACATAGCGGATGCGCTGCCAGTTCAGTATTTGTTCCGTGCATGATAGGCATTGTCCACAAATTCGGGCCTTTTCAGCAACGAACCCCCTCTGATACAGTGGGCAAAAGATTATTCAACACGTTTTTTTGCAAGGTTCATCATATTGGTGTCGTTTTTAAGGCCGGTGCCTGGCTACGGAGCGGCCTTGTCCGCCACGCAGCCCAGATGCGGCGAAGTACTTGAGCTGGGCAGCGTTGCGTTGGACCACGTTTGGTATTTGAACGTGTGGGAGCGTGGGTGGGTGGGTGGGTGGGTGGGTGGGTGCGATTTGTTTGGGAGCGTTCTTTTGGCTGAGCGTGTGGGTGCGTGCGAATGCGTGCGGATGCGTTTGTGCCTGCTGTCCATTTGCCTGCTTGTGCGTGTGTGCCTGCTTGGGTAAGGAGCATGCCAGGGCAAGCATTTGCTGTACAGTTCAACAGTCTTGCGGGTACCAAGTTGTTGCTGATCCTAGCGTTGGAGTTAGCATGAGTTAGCAGTGTCTCAGACAATATGCGTTTGGATGTCGTGGGATCTAGCATGCGGAAACTCAAGGCCTGAAGCTCAAGGTTGACTTATGAACTGGGCTGCCAATTGCTACAGTAAAAGTCCGCGCACTCAGATTGAAATCCTCGACTTCAAAGAGGTTCCACTTCGAGCTCGTCATTCACAAATGTGCCTTCCTTGGCTACGCAGGTCAAGCTTGCAAAGCATGGCGCAAGCACAGGATTTGCCCAGCGAGACATCCAGTAGGGCAAAATATATACAGGAATACATTCGTCCCAACAAGTTGGACTCGAATGGATGCAATTGATCCTTTTTTGGTGTGTCCTTGCCAAGTTGCCCGACAGGCGGTTCCAAAACTGCTCACAACCGGCTTTCAGGAGGGACCCTGCTTTTGACCACTTCTTTGGGCAGCTGGTAGACTCTGGCATTTGCTTGAAGTCTCATCGCCGTCGCAAAGTTTAACCAAGTTCCGCGGCCCAGGTGCATTTAAAGGGACATGAATTGTGTAATTCCTGTGGCTTTGCATCAGGCTAGTCTTGGTGAACTATACCTCGGACTTCGTGCTGGGCTTCAGGCGGATCGGATGAAATAACAAATTTGCTGGATCCATTTCAAGTGTTTGTCCCAATATTATATTTTGCCGGGGTTGCTGTCTTTGTAGCCTTTACATCGGCCTTCTCAGTCACCACCTCAGCCTCCTTCTTCTCCTCAGCCTCCTTTGCCTCCTTGTCTTCGAAATCTTGCTTATTGCCCATTGACGTCCCTCCACTATTTGCCCTGCCTGTAATTAGACCATGCAGACATCAATATGCCTCAACCGCACAGACTCAATTCCAGCTGCTGGCTGGCTGGATTGATCGGTTGATTGCTTGCTTGCTTGTTTGCTTGCTTGCGCCGAGAAGGGTGGCCAGAATCTTGGGTTGGGGCGGCTGCATCATGTTGTCGCAGGTGGGATGCCCGGAAGCTCTTCCGCTTCGATCACGAGCTGGAGATAGAACCCAGCCAGGGGGAGCTGTCGCCAGGGTGCGCTTCTACAGAGGGCAAATGGGAGGTGGGTCAAGTGGGTTGGGGTGGGTTTGGGTTTGAGTTGTTGGTGATTCATGAATAGAAAAAACATGAAAAAACGGAATTGCAAAGTGGCTCATGTTCAATGGTCTTAGGTGCTTGAGCTGGCTTGGAGGATTCGGCTGCTTTCTTGGCTTGCTTACGTGACCATGGACGAAACATGTAATTGGCGCAGGCACCAGGAATCAGCGCCAGAATGGCCGCTGACAACCCATAGAAGTTGGGTTACTCCCACCTTTTCCCGACAGCCAGCCTTGTGCCATCGGAACTGAAGGGAAATTGCACTGAGGTCTCATTGCATCGTGGTCTTTCGCCTTTGCTGCAATGAGCCGATGGATGTCAGCGGCGAGGCATGCAACTTGAATCCTTGGTCAGTCCTGGAAACGATACTTGGCTGCCTATCCACAAAACGTTGCGGTTGGGGAGCAGAATGTCGGAGGATTCACCTGCAAAATGAAAGGAATCCACTGTGCGTCCATCCGAATCGTTGCTAGTTTGCCTTGTAATTCATAGGCGCCCCTTCCGATGCCTGGGAGCCAGTCAAGGGGCCTCGATGCAAAGGAATTCTCCACGGACTGCCCCGCCGTTTCCTTGCCAGATTGCCTGCCAACTGGACTGGACACACATCAGTGCCGGGCTTGGGCAGGAGAGGAGTTCCAGCTGGCAACTTGCAGATTTTACCTGCTGGTTCTCAATGGAATGAGAAATGGAACAACCCCAAGAAAATAAAGCCATCCTGTGATCCTGTGGTTTCAATCAAAATCCCCATCATTCCCCATCCATCGCTATGGTTTTTAGGGAATCCCATCCGCTTCCTTCCCACCCGGCACTAAGTCTTTCCCCACTCGCCATTGTTGTTGGGAAACATTTGAATCATTTTTGCGTGGTTTAGTGGTTGAAATCCCACCACTCAGCTGCTATTTTTTTTGAATTTTCGCTCCCCAAACCCAACGTCAACCAAGTCGCAGCAGAGATGAGGCGCTTATGGCCAGCAGTCCGTGGTGGAGTCCCAGGAGGCACCAAACTTGCTTGAAACCGCGGAACCCGCGCGGCTTTTCGTGGCGGCGTTTGCTTCCATTTGTGTAAGAACAGGGCTCCTTAAAAGATCTCCATTTTGCAACCATTTGAAACATGTTGCTTTTTCAACACCAAAATAAAGGGACACCACCATTTACAAGGCAATGTTCAGGTGGACAATGTAAGGATCCCTGAAGAACATGCCGATTTTTTTCTTTTTTATGTTATTCCGTTGTCTTCCATGGCTTTTCTTCCGATTGTTCGCACTTTCTTCCATTTAGGTGATTTTCCCCGGTTGGGTTTTTAGAGGGAACTATCACTGTTTTGTTTGTTTCTCTCGGGGACCAAGAAGCAAGTTTCGCCTTTGGAGGAGCCCGTGCCAGTGGAGTACTTTGGCTTCCATGCGGATCACATCCACGAGCCGGCGTGCGAGGCTCAGGACATTCGTGTGCCGCTTCCCCAGGGCGCACGGTGGCTGTGTGGCAGGCTACTTAAATGGCTGTGGGTCAAAACCAATGGGATCCCATGTTGGGGTAGGTGCGGCTTTATCTTAGTGGGGATTGGGATGTTCACTGGGAGTACGATTTGGATTTTGACCCATGGCCAAATGACTCCTTTCCCTTTGGTGCACTTCTCACACCTGGCAAAAGAGTGTCCCTAGTTTGCACACATCCCCCAAACAGTTGAAAGATGTTGGATTTTCAAATGTGGCTCCTACAATCCTTTGTTGCAGCGCCGTGAAGCAGCGACTCACGAGTTTAGGCACCTGAAAATCAAAGCGATTAACAAAACCTTCGGTTGGACGTCCGTCCACAAGATACGGCTGAGGCGATCTGGGAAGGGGCCCAATGCACCAGTGGCTGCGCTCAGCGGGCGAGACTGACGGATATCTTATCGAGTAGTCTAAATACCTGCTCCCTGAATGGTGTGAAGAAAGAATCTGGGGAGTCGGAAAGAACCTGTACCAACCAAGCAGGTATGTGCTTGCCTGCGTGCGTGCGTGGGTGGGTGCGTGGGTGCAGGAGTGGGTGGGTGTGCGCGCGTGCGTGCGTGCGTGCCTGCTTGTGTGCGGGCGGGAGAGCGGGCGGGCGGGCGAGGGTGCATTGGCGTGCGTGGGTGTGTGTTTGTGTTTGCGCGCATGATTGTATGTGTGCTTGTGTGTGTGTGTGTGTTTGTTTGTTTGTTTGTTTGTTTGTTTGTTTGTTTGTTTGTTTGTGTGTTTGTGTGTTTGTGTGTTTGCGTGCTCGCGTGCTTGTTTGTTTCTGTGCTGGTATCATTGCGTGTTTGTATGTTTGTGTGTTTGTGTGTTTGTTTGTCTGCGTGTGTGTGTGTGTGTGTGTGTGTGTGTGTGTTTGTTTGTTTGTGTGTTTGCGTGCTCGCGTGCTTGTTTGTTTCTGTGCTGTTATCATTGCGTGTTTGTTTGTTTGTGTGTTTGCGTGCTCGCGTGCTTGTTTGTTTTTGTGCTGGTATCATTGCGTGTTTGTATGTTTGTGTGTTTGTGTGTTTGTTTGTCTGTGTGTGTGTTTGTTTGTTTGTTTGTGTGCTTTGCGTGTTTGCGTGCTTGCATGCTTGAGTGCTTGCATGTGTGCCTGTGTGCGTATTGTGGGTGGGCGGGCGGGCGGGCGGGTGGGCGGGCGGCCGGGTGGGTGGGTGAGTTTGTGGTTTTAATCAAGATTTGAACAAATTCAGCTCCATGCCTTTTGTGTTTCTCGACGAAATTGGTCGGTCTCATTCAACTTGACCGGGTCTCGGTTTTGGGGGCTGCGGTGTTTTTGTTGTTGACAATCATGTTGCATTATTATGGGGAAGCGATTTGTCAATCGACTTGCTACTAGAATAAACCATTAGGCGATCAACTGGAGGCCAAGCACTGGGCTGAAATTGCCACCGCCTCGCCGTGGTTGCAGCCATTGCGTCAATAGGGGCCCCAGTGAGCGCGATGAGTACGCCTGCGCGAAGCGTGGGTAACACAAGACGAGACATGCCGGTTGATCAAGACCGATGGGTACATGCGTTTTACAGCGATGCGTCTCACAGCGGCCTCATTTGTTTGACTTTTAAGGATGCGTGATGACATGCTGTTTTGAGGTTCTTCGTTCGGCTGGCGCGATCCGAGGTGCACATTTCAGTGGCAAACCGCTTGACGGTGTCCAGGCTTGTAGTGACTGTGAGAACATGGCGGCATGTGCCGTCATTTGGGGCAGCTTCGGAGTTATCATGGACCACTGGTTTCTAGACTTGTTTTTGCATTTTCCTGCGAGAACAATGGCGGACTCGCAAAAAACAATACCCCTCTGAACACGAAGTGGGAACATCATGCATTTGATCATGAAGTTGTTTGCTCAAGCGTTGCCATAAAGAGTTCAGGTCTAACTAATTGCGGTTGGCTTTCACATTGCAAGCAGGCATGCACGCGGGCACGCGCGCACAAGCACATACGCGCACATCAAGACACGCAAACACATAGAAACACACGCGCACACACGCACACACAGAGACACACAGCCACAAACACAAGAAAAAATACAAGCCGAAGCGCAAGCACAACACGGCTTGTGCGGCGTGCTTGCTCTCAAGGGTTGCCCGTGGCCAGGTTTCGACACTTGATGTCCACGGCTGCGGGGCAAAAGTTCCTGAACGAGAACCTGCATCGCACCTCCGTGCTCTCGTCGGCAGCCTGGAGCGATCTGATGGCAATATCCAAGGTGTAGGAGGACCCTCGCCACCTTTGCGCAACTACAGAGGAAGCTGCGTTTGCTTTGGCCCATTGGCAAGAGTTCTCCAAGCAGGACCCAAGGAACACCTAGAGGCGCGGCCCGGAAGGCAGGTTCTGGTCCAGGTTTCAGAATGCTTCTGAAGCCCCTTTTTGGCTTGGCTGAGTCTACCTCGAACGACACAGGACACCCAAGTTCCAATTTCCAGGCGCCTAGCAACACGGCCAAGCTACCCATGTGACCTGCTACTTGCTTATGTGTTGTTATTTTTGTTTTGGTCTTAGTTTGCTTGCATGCCTGCATGCTTGCTAGATTGCTTGCTTGCTTGTTGGCTGTGCGTCGCCTGTTGGCTTTGCGTTGTTTGTTTGCTGGCTTTGTTTGCGTGCGTGCTTGCTTGCGTGTGTTTGTGGGTTTCTTTGTTTGTTTGTTTTGTTTTGATTGATTGATTGATTGATTGATTGATTGATTGATTGATTGATTGATTGACTGATTGACTGATGGATTGCTTGTTTGTGTGTTTGCTTGTTTTGTGTGTGTGTGTGTGTTGATTGATTGGTTGGTCGGTTGGTTGGCTGGCCGGCCGGCCGGCTGGCTGGCTGGCTGGCTGGTTGGTTGGCTGTGCTTGTGATTGTGTGTGTGTGTGTGTCTGTGTTTTGTGGTTTGCCTTTGGTGAGTGCGTGTGCTCGTGTGTGTGTGTGTGTGTTTTTGTGTTTGTGTTTGTGTGTGTGACTGCTTGTGCTTGTGTTTGTGCTTGCATGTGTTTGTGTGTGTGTGACTGCTTGTGCTTGTGTTTGTGCTTGAATGTGTTTGTGTTTGTGTGTGTGTGTTTGGGTGCGTGTATACTGTTGTTTGTTTGTTTGTTTGTTCTGTCTGTCCTGTCCGTGTTGTTTGTCCTGTCATGTCTTGTCCTGTCCTCTTTGTTTGTTTGTTTGTGCGTGTGTGTCTGTTTGTGCGTTGTTTGTTTGTCTGTTTGTTTGCTTGCTTGCTTGTTTGTTTGTTCGTTTGTTTGTTTGTTTGCGTGTCTGCTGCTGTGTGCTTGCTTGCGTGTTTGCGCTCTTCTGTGTTAGGGTTTGTGTGTTTGGGTCTTTGTGATATGCAAAACGGTGTCAAGGTAGATGGTGACTGGTGCAGGGTCTTGGGGGGCACAATCCGCCAACCAACCCGGGTGAGAACATCGGGGGAAGTTTCTTTGCAAGGGTGCTGGGACGTTAGGAGTCCCTTCTCTCTGAAACAAGTGAGCATGTCTGTGTGCAGCGTTCGATCGATGAATCAACAGACAGAGAAACGCTCCGCTCAGGTCACACATTCCCATCATGTCTCCGCGGAAAGTCTGGCGCTTACCAACGTTTGTGTGTGTGTGTGTGTGCGTGGGTGTGTGGGAGATCATTTGTGCGATCAGAGTCGGTGTTTGTTGGGCGCAGCCTTAGCCATTGTCAAGGATGTCTAGCAGATGCCAAGTCAGGGTCGCCGGCTCTGACATGGTCAGCAGACCTGTGGAAGCGCATTCCAAGCAAGAAAGGCATGCACCTCCGAACAGTGGTAAATCCAAAAGCTGCACACCTCAAATGATAGGGCCTCTTTTGCACGGTGATATCCACGTCGTGGATTTTATTGTAAATCCGACTATGAAAAACTCTGTGTTGGTGAATCGCTCCCGCAACACAACTCTTGAGCCAAGCTGCGACAACATGTCTTGCAAGGAGTTATGTATTCGGGGACCATTGGCGTTGGTTTAAATCCCTCCGCAAAAGATTTGCTATGGAGTTCGCAAAGGAGATTTGTTCTTTCGCGAAAGGGTCTTTGAGGCATGCCTGTGCACATGCATATGTAATTGCAAACCCCACGTTCTTTGTAGACAGGGAGCTCTTTGTCCTTGTTCCCCTGGCTTTTCTGGCCAAGGGTGGTCTGAAAAACTTGATCCTTCTGGCTTCCCAACTGAAAAGCACCCTTTACTTGCATCCTTGATTCCCGGCCTCTGCCGGGAATGGTGCAAACTAAAACGTTGGCTGGACTATTTGGGAGCAGGTTTCGCGAAACAGGCAAGGTCCATGGAGCTTGTTGCAGGGTTCCGCACATCCCGACAAGCGCAAGTGGCAAGGGCGAATATGGTGACCGTTTTAACTTAGCGCTGCTGCAAGCCGCAAGTGAATTACGGTTACTGTGTTTGCGAGCATAACTGCGGCAGCCACAATGGCTCCAGAGCGCGCGCTGCGAACCAAAGGGCGTGGCGGCGGAGTCGCGAAAGATTCGCCATTTGGTAAGATTCACAATTTGGTTTCTTGCGAAGCTCAGCAACACGTATTTGGAAGATCAGTGAATCGCTGCTTGGTTGAGCATCCCATCCATTGCTAAACTGCTGCCAGAGATGCCATTTTCTGCGCGGGTCCTGACTAGTGACCTGACGGTCATAGTCTCCAGGCGATGCAGACGTCTACCATGGGCTTGGCGTTGCAGAGCAAGGAAGAGATGCCAGGGACACACAGCCGCGGCCTTGAGTTGGTATGATGCGTTGCTGGGGCAACGCCACACCAGGATTGCGTTTGATTGCTGAAGCGCGTGCTTCCGAAAACTGGGGATCTGCCCTAGGCCCTAAGCTGAATTCAACATAAGCAAGCGATTGTAAGGTTGATATGCGCGGGTGTGCTTGGGGTCCCTTGTCAAGAACTAAACCGATTTAGGCGAACAGCATCAAGCACGATTCATCCGAGCAACAAACACTCGCAAACCGTTTGGTGGGGCTGTTATGAACTCAGATATCGCGGCGGGTCAGCAATACAAAAACTTGGTTCTTAAAGACAATCACGTACTTTCAGTAGTATATACAAACAGTTGAGCCAGTGGCACGAGTAGAGCTTTTGCAAGTAGACAATCTACGAGTTGTTCAACGTCAACTGTCTTTCTCTTTTAATGGCCCAGCTGGTTCCTGTGCCGGCATGAAAGTCAGACCCACCGAATCTGGTCTAGATCTGCAGGAATTGGCAGAGAAATCAAGTGTGTGTCGTTTCATGTTTTCAGAGACACCGCTCTTGGGAGATCCTGAGTGTTCCATCAATAGTTTCTAAAAGGAAAGTCGGACAGTGTTGTCCCCCACCTTCGGTCAGCTTCAATGTTGCAGCCAGGGCTTTTGCAAATTCGAACATCGACGCTTGAAGGGGAAACCAATTGAAGGAATCGACGCGTAGGTGGCTGTTGATGTTCAACAGTGGTCCGATGTTTGGAGCGTCGAAATTGGCCATAGCCCAGGCCAGAGCAGCATGGAGGAGTCCTCTCGCACAGCACCCAATGCGCCCACCTCCTACCCGCTCTACGTGCGCGTGCGGGCGCGCTGCTCATGCCTGGGTGAGGGCGTGCTGAGTAAGACAAGCCTTCACATTGGACATGTTGAATGAGCAGTACTCAGTACTCAGTATGTCAATGTTTCCCTTTTTTTCTGGTAGAGGATGTGTGTGCCAGATTAGCCAGAATGAAAACTCTGTAAATCCAATTATGTTGACCTGTGAGTAGTTCTTTGCCATGTGGATCATGATCCGTATGAACTTTGCAAGGGGCGATCAAATCAATATTTGCAGGGCGGCAAATACAACGTGCTATCAAATGACAGGTCCGCATGCTGGAACCAAAGCTATTTTGCGTGCTTATGATTACTTCTATGCAAGGTCATAGCTATGGTGCAACACTTGTGTCACTTCACACCCCTGCCCTACTGTCTTTCCTCATTCATACTTATACTTATACTTATACTTTCTTATCTCAATGTGATTGGTGATGCAATGATCTGCTTTCAGTTAGGCGGGAGGATGTATATCAGACGGGATCATCCGAATGATATCGCCTCCTTGGCTCCCGGAGTCGCTGCAACATGCTTGATGTATGACCATTGGGAGAAGGGGGGGGCGTGTATTTGAATGTGCACATTGAAACAAACGTGTGTAGGTAGGATTTATAGGAATGTTTCGCAGGTTCAATAGCCTTGACAGTATTTACTTATTCCTCGGATCGCTTGCGGTCGTGTGGTGAAAGAGTTATGCGGCTACTTGGCATGGACCTGTTCAGCTGCCAGTGATTGCGTTGCCCGAATCACGCAAGACACATTGACATGTTTCGCTCAATCGAATGCCGGCCATGTCACCCCTTGCGTGAAAAGAGGTGTTTGTTTGTGTGCACATGTTAGAATCTTACGTAGTTCAAACGTGTTTGCTGTTTTTCGTGGTGCAAGCCGTGAGCCGGGAGCTTTGCTTTCAATTGTTGCACGTCTTGAGGCGGTCGTTGCAGATTGGAGGGTGCCTTCGGAGCAGCGGAAGGACACGGACTGGGCACTTAGCAGACAACCGAAGACTCAGCCATTCCGTTTCTGAGCAATTGGCTGTGGGTCCATTTTCGGGTAGGTGCACCACCCATTTTGGAACCTATTTTAGTGGGGATTGGGATGTTGACTGGGGGTACGGGCTTTTGACCTATGGACCTTCACTACGCTGCTTCCACATGCGAGGACTTTGTCGTGGAGAGCTTTGCCAGAAACCTGCTGGCACGCCGGCAGAGCGAGGGAGAGCTGGAGAAGGCAAGGGAGCCGGTCCTGCAAAATACCAAGCACGCCGTACAAGCTCTTCTTTTTGCATACAAATCAGGTCCTATGACTTGAAAGCACCAACTAGAACTCTGGATTTGTTTTCTCAGGCCTTTGTACAGGAAATCTGGGTCAAAAACATATTTGTTTGTTGCAAATATGTTTTTGCACAAATGATGCGAGGCATTCGATCCTTATCCCACTGTATAGCACACAAAGTGTTTGCCGCGTCGGTGTCAACGGGTGGCATCAGCTAGCAGCCCCGACTGCCACAGTGTCGCTCCCACATCTCTTCTTGAGTGTTTGTGATATGGCACGTTTGACCATTTACTAGATTTGGTATGGCCAGCCTTTGCGTGTATGTGTTTCAGGATGCTACGAATCCGCTGAATCTCGGCACCGCGCGTGAGGAGAGAAAACTGCTAATTGCAAGATACATAGGTTCCCATGGGACCAGTGTTTGCAGGAAACGGGCAACCCCACACATCGTCGTTGGGCGGGTGTTCCTTTCAGAATGCACCCAAGAGGTTCTGCATAGCATTGGGACACACCCCAAACATATTTCATTCCATTCGCGTGCAGGAGACGGCGCAAGATCCGGGTCCACCCAAAGAAGACCCGTTGGCATCCCAATGCGAAGCTGGCCATGTGCATCGCCTGGTGCATTGGTCCGAGGTCAGAGGCGATCGCCGAGGGCTTCCAAGGCTGTTGGCGCTTGTGATTCATGGGCGTCATGAGTTGTCCCTTCAATAACTGTCATTTAGTGGGGATCAGGGTTGTGGGATTAAGGGGCTTATCCAACCACTTCTGTGATGCAAGGGAATCTCCCCCTTATATGGGGGGGGTTAGTCTTTGGGAAGCCCTTTTCGTTGTATCGCAGAAGTGGTCATTTCCCACAGGCCTGGTGGGGATCTTTGACAGGGTAAAACGAATCTTTGTTTGCATCGGGGCCCTTGTCATATCCTTTACTTGAATGGCAGCCCAAAAACATCAAATGCGAGATTGACTACTTTGCCAAGAACACAGCACCAGACTTGGCTTGTCGCGAATTGCTCGCAGGTGAGGCCGAAGGCGACGGTGTGGAAGAAACCAACGCGGCACTGAAGCTGGCAGGGTCCGTGCTTGAGCAGATGATGAAAGAGGCGAGGGAGGGTTTGGCAATTTTAGCTGGCAACGGTGTACTTAATCTTCGGACCATTGGTTGTCTGCAACCAAGATGAAACCTATCACAGGAAGGTCCAACTGTTCAGCTCCTACAAATCCCCACGTCGAACCTCCAGGTAATTGCGGAGGAAGAGTTTGGCGCGGTCCTGGACAAGATGCTGTCACAGGTGCTTTCTCAATGGTCGTCTTTTTTTGATCTTTCAGCTGCCGGTCGCAGGAGGTGCCCGCCTTCGAGCAATTCGAAAACAGCGAGCCTCCGGCGTTGCCAGCTCCGGAGCACCCTGCGGGAGCCTCAATCGCTGGGAGCCAAAGGGCTGGCGACGTTTCGTCAAGGCTGCTCCTGAGCCAGAGCTGAAGCATCCATACGAGGCGGGGGCTTGATTTCTTTCGAAAGGATGACCAGTTGTCATACTCATTGCCATAGATTTCACCCAAGTCTCAAATCCTGTGGCTTCCTGTGAGGATGCAGACACTGCGCCACCGGAGCCAACGAGGCGGGTTGACCACTGCCCGGCTTCAACTGTTGGTCATCGATGCTACTTGCCGGGCCATGTCAATGGTTTTGCAAGCCCCTGTGTGGCGAGACTGCCTCGGCGCTTTGGAACTGGATATGGGTCAAAAATAACCCACCAGGGGACCGCAGGAATTGAAGTCCTTGCTTTGATTGGTCTCAATGTGGGTACCTATTTTCGACCCACTGCCATATGACATTGAGACTTTAGCTCAGTGAAGGTCGGCGGCTCCCGAAGAAAGTGAAGAGGCCTTGGATGAGGAGGACCGGTTTCGTTCGATCCAGAGGTTGCTTACCCTACGGTTCCAGTCAACGAACCGTCAATATTGTTTCACTGAGAACAGATCGGAAAGCACCACAGATTTCTTCCACCGCCCAAACCTTCGCTGACTTGAGCCAGGAAACTCCTCTCAGCACAGCACTTCCACGGCCAGGGCCTTGCACTCTGCAGCGTCAAAAACCGAAACCGATGTGAAAGGGGCGAATTGAGAGCCTGGCGAAAGCTGAAGAGCCTGGGTTGTGGCCGGTCATTGTGGACAGCCTCAACTGTCGAGCTCAGGTGAAATCCAAAATGCAGCACTCAGGTACTAGACTATAATAGGAGAATGTGGAAGCAAAGTGAAACGTGGCGAAAGCATCGCGAAAGCTTCCGCGAAAGCTTCCGGATTGTCAGCAAGTAGAAGATATGGCTGTGGGTCAAAACCAATGGTGCCATTTTGGGGTAGGTGCACCATGTTCACTGGGGGTGCGATTTGGATTTTGACCCATGGCCATATGGCTTCGCCTCTTGGAAACAAAGACACCCAACAGCAATGGGCCCCATGAAACTGAGAGTTTGTTGACCCAAGTGTCCCTCAGAAATCGGCGTCCAATTGTTAGCCAATTGGTTGTTGGTTTGTGTTGCGACGAGGTCAGACTTGCTTATGGACTTCAGCGCAGGGAGCTCAGCGCAAAGAAGCTTCAGATGGTGAGGGAGAATGGAGAGAGGAAAGAGCGAGTGAGCGGGAGACTTTTACGTGGCTTCCCATGGCCCACAGGCGCCGAGCTCAGCGCGGGCTGAACAGCGGGCTGAAGGCCAGGGGGTGTTTTGCTTCTTGCTTCTGTTTTTTTGGTTGGGGGGGGGTACCCTTTTTTGGGATTGCAAAGGGAACCAAAAGAAACCACAAAGGGGCAATCCTAATAGTGGTCCCGCACGCTTGCATCCAAAACTCTGCCGCCACAATGGCCTAAAGGAGTATAAAAGCATTGACTTTTATCAGCAGTGACTGCCGGTACGCTTGAAACGAGACCTGTTTTAGCGAAATCCACGCATTTGGCTTGGAGAGGGTCCTGTTGAGACTGGCATAGTAGCAGTTGCTATCGCGTTCATTTGGCTGCCACTTGTGCTCCTGGACGGGGAATCTCAAATCGTTTTACATTGCGAAACGATCTCCAGATGGAAGTGCCCAGTGCCACAAGTGGTAGCACAAACTACCTCAAGAGAATAATATTGAACTGGAGGTGTTCAACTGGAAAAGAGTGTGCGTGGGAAGCCATTGGACAGCTCAAATAAGTGGTTTCTCCAAGCGAAAACTTGCGAAGTGCGCCAGTTCGCCCTCCACGACCTCCGAGCCCGATACGCTCGAGGCCCGCGTGGTGTTGCCCCATTTGTTTGAATGAGTGGCCATGAGCTTTGAGATGCCTGTCACATGTTAAGGTGATGAAATCTCATTTCTTAGCTTCGAGCCTTAAGTTTCTACACGTGACCCGGTCATTTGAACATGGGCCCCAAGCCGAGTCGTCAGGCACGGTACAGACGAGCTGGAGGTTCCAACTCCGTTGGGATCACCTGGCAGACCAGAAAGGCGAGAGACGATAGCTTTCGACGGATGGATCGTTGGTGTTGTGATGGTGTTGACACCCGATGATTTTAATAAACCCCAGTTTATGAATATAAGGGTGTCCGATTCTGGTTTTAGTGGGGATTGATCACTTTTGAAGGGGAACACATATTTACAAGCATGGGTTGATTGATCCGGGGTCAACATTCGTGTTGAATGGTTGTGGTTCGGACGTGGTGTGGATGCCCTATGAGGCTGGGAATCGAGTTTGTGAATGAACTCTTGTGCGACCTTCAAATGGTTCAAGGACACAGTTCCCCGTCACTGCTCCGCATGTCGAATATGCTTCTAAGGATAGGCCAAGGGTTATAGACAACCATTGTAAGTGACCCATGGATACTTACCGGCTCAATATAGAGAGTTGTTTGGTCCTAATTCAGTGGATCAGTTTGAAGCTAGTGCAGACTCTTTGGTTGTGAGATGGCGTGGCCCTACCGATGCTGCGTTCGGAACCAGAGTCCCTTAGTAAAATTCCTGGCTCTTTGGAAATGCAACTAGCGTCAAACTAGGAAATGAGAGAGTCCACTCGTTGTCACCTCCCTTTTGCTGTGGATGTCGTATTGGTATCCGATAGTTTGCAGCTGTAGGTTGCATTCGGGAAATGAACAGTGACCAGTCACAAATATGCACCATGGCAAAAGCAATCTTGCGATTCCGGGCTCTTTGGGATGCATCAAAGCTCACGTTCTTGACACAGATGTTGATTGGGCGGCGTGCATAGCCACTGTGTAAAATTGCTCTTGTTTGCTGCTCGCATTGAGCAGGTGCTGGGAGGACGCGCTGAATATGTACGGCGAGGCAGGCAGATAGGACTCAGGATAATCATTGGTGCCAGGAGTTCTCTGTTTGGCAGAGCATTTCCCTTCAGGGCCATTTCCATGATCGTTTGACAAATGGAACATCGCTGCGGAATCTTACTCTCCGGCAGACTATGCAAGCCCCCAACGAACCGTCAAGAGGAATCTCCTTTGCGTGGGTCCCTTTTTCAGGGCCAATTAATATTCAAAGGGGAAATCTCGGGATCGCTTTCTTGGGAAATCCGCGTGAGCGGAGCTGCTAACCCGACAGGTGGACTTAGATGCATTCCGAGACTCCGCGGCAGAGGTTCTGGATCGGCTGTTGTCGGCTTCCTAGAATCCTGTAATGAGATGGTCGCGCGGGTGTCCAGTCGTCGGATACTTGAAAACCTCATGGGAGTTTCTCAAATTTTGTTTTTCTCCTCTTGGAGGTTGGCATCCTTTTGGTTTCCCTTTGACTAACCAAAAGGGGGTCCACCATTTTGAGATAGACCCATATGAAGTCATGATGAATGATCATAATGGAATGATATGTGGAACTGTTTCACGTTTGTTCCTTAAGTAACATATAGAGTGACCTGTTCAGTTTCCAACCCGAGACTTTTCGCTATAGGTTTCCTCAATTACTTACGTACTTAAAGACCCAGTGAGTATCCGGCGGCATCTAGCAACGAACCTGCACACGCAATACTCCAAGTAAACGAACAATATTCTATGGTTTGGTACCAATGTGAATGTTGGTTCCAGCCTGTGCATCGTATCCTCGAGAGAAGCAAAGCGCTTATTTGTGCAAAGCCGTCCGGCCCCGTAGACGGGGTGTCAAGCAGGGCAAATAGCCAACTGGATTCCCACCGCACGGATGCGTCTCCACGCACACCACCCTCACTATTCACAGCGTGCTTCCCGTGTGTTTTGCGGATTGCCGCGTGCGCCTCCAGCACGGATTCCTGTGCGTGCCGCCCGCACGGAAATCCGGGCATGCCTCCGTTTACGGCCTTGCAACAGGGGCTCTCACACCTCCGTATAAAAGCTCTCTCACATCTGTCACGTCAGGCCGCTCGAGGTTTTCCTTTTTTCAGCTATTTGTGCATTCATTCCTATGTTTGAATAGCGAAGCAGCATGACTACAGCACCATTGTTAGGCCTATCCATAGCACCCTCTCGTATTTCATGCCGCCGTATACTTGCACGCGCGCCACTCTCCTACGGACCAGCTTACCAGCACCCCAACTGCAGCCTGACCCGCGCCCTCAGGCCCCACCCGATTGCCCGATTTCGCTGAACAACCCCCACCTCTTTAGAAGTAATTAGGAACTCCTATAGCAAACCGTTCGCAAATCACACCCATTCCTTCCACTCATTCTTTGGGGGCCCTCCTTTTCTCAGAACATCGTCGCAAACGGCCCATACATTGGACATCCTCGCCAAATCTGGCTTTTGAAAGTTCGGTTTTGGGAGCCCAACAAGCATTCCGTTGGCATCGCCAGCCCGAACATCGTTTCGAGATGATGCCTGTTTTCACCAGGAAAGTAATGTTGAAGGCTTGTTGCAACTTGATGGTTCCTTGCTTTACAATCGATTGTTGCGTTGTTCTGCAGGTACTCTGTGTGCCTTTCAAACCCTGAGAGCAGAGTCGGCAACAGGTTGGACACCATGGATGATGTCATCGCTGGCCGACTGAATTGGCTTGAGGCTCAGGTGATTGACTGATGAGGTTGAGACAGGTTGATAAACAAGCCGGCAGGAGCGAAGGTATGTCTCAAAATGTTGAGAGCCTCTAAGACAAGAACTACTTTTCAGCTGTCGAGAAATAGAGAAAGCGACGTGTAGGGTCAAAGACGGCCATGTTTTCCCCGTGCTGCTTGTGGTTCAGGATTAATGGTGCTCACCCCTTGAGGATGCCTTTCATTGGAATCCGCATGCGGCGAACGTTTTGCTCACAGCACCTGCACTCCTTTCTGAGGATGCGACCCCTTCCCCGCGTCCGTGATAGGCGGTAGCCGAGCGGATTCCCCAGCCAAAGATTTCGGGCCAAAGACTTGCGAACTGCAGCAGTTGTATTTTGCAGAAGAAAAAAAAAAAAACGCCACGTTTCACCTTTCACGTTTCACATTTCACCTCTCACTCGGTGGTTTGGCAATGTCACCGCGCGAATCCCGCGCCTTTGAGACCGGAGGAAAAGCAGACACGACACGCGTTCTTGTTGAACAGTGCTTGACAGCCGCTGACAGTGGCCAATACTCGGGTAATATTTGTATACAACAGAATCTTACATGAACTGCAAAGCATGCTTGACAACACGGCCACTGGAAGACTTGCTCGAGATCTGGAAATCATTTGTTCCTTGACTATTGCAGGCTTATGGTCCAATGGTGCAAGCAGCTTATGGTCCAATGGTGCGGCTTGCAACAAATATGTCTGAGCTCCAAGCACACCAAAAATGCTTGGTATGTCACTGGTAACGGACAGCTTCACATTCCACATGTGAGATGTGGCAAATAGCATTTGAGACTTGTAAAAGCCATCTCTGAACTTTACGCTTTCAGCCTGCTCGCCAACTTGTTGTTTGTTTGCCAGCTAGGGAGTTGATCCAGATTCCAGATCTTGCACACTTGACAAATAAAACCCCAGTCCGTATTTTACGTGTGCGTGTGTGTGGGTGTGTGTTTGCATGAATGATAGGGCAGCACTTCATCGATTGGCGCCATGTTCGACCAGAACTGGTTGAAGAGGCCAGTTTGCATTCGGGTGTCATGGTTGTGGCCCAGATGGTGATGGCTTTGCCAGGTACATGCTGGCCAACCAGGCCAAGGCCGTGTAGGGCGCACCGCTGTTTGCCAATGATTCTGATGGTGAACGGCTTGAGCTGAAGTAACCTGAGTTGCCGCTGGGCCGCTTTGCCATCCACCGGATCCACCGGATCCACCGGATTGATGGGTGAAGAGTTGCGCAATGTCGAGACTGGAAGTGGTGCGGCATGGCTCGGAAGTCGGTTTGCGAGGGTGGCGCAAAGAAGCCGGCGCCCAAGTCGGCTCCGCAGTTCTGGGTCGCGAGGCCGCGAGGCTTCGGGGCGAGGCTCAAACTCAAAGGCTGCCGATTGGGATGGAAGCAAAAAGGGGCCAACGTATTGCAGGGCTCCTTAAAAGGTCTCCATTTTGCAACCATTTGAAACATGCGGCTTTTTCAACACCAAAATAAAGGGACGCCACCATTTACAAGGCAATGTTCAGGTGTATAATGTAAGGATCCCTGTATTGCAGGAGCGGAAAAGGTCTTGGGCAAAGTCCCAGGTGAAGGGGGGCTTGCGGGTAGTCGGTGTGTAAGCTCGAGCATTTTCAGTTTCGTCGATCCTGAGGCCACCAGACCCGTTCGACGAGTCACCGGCCTTGCATGCAAGGCGGTGTTGGCAAAGCTGTGCTTTTTCGTGTGATTGCTTTCTTCTTTTGAACCGTGTGCAATGTACACTTTCCCACCCTAATGGCAAAGTCATGGCTTATCCAAAGTGGTGTGTTCCAATGGTGGATGAGTGAGAGCGTGAATGCAGCCAAAAAGACATGGGGGTGTCTTTTTTTGAGGGTACCTGTTTTTGTTTCGTGCTTTTGAGGGCAAACCCAAGGAAACCACTTGTTTGGGATCCCCTAAAAAAGACGCGACCACATGAAAGCAGGTATGTTTAGGATATATCATGCAATTGATCAAGCCAAGCACGGGAGTAGCTGGAACACACATGTATAGATGGAGCTGCTTGAATTCAAGGATGAGCGGTGACTATCTGGGGCAACATCAGACAAGCAACTGACTACGATACATGTGTGTTTGTTTGCTTCTCCCGGACATGGTTGCGTTATCTTCGAGGACTTTTGCACCATCCTGCCACAAAGCTTTGATTTCAGAAGCGGTGGTCCTGACGATGGTGCTTCTGTGTTCCTTTGAACACTGCAAGCCACAACAGGCTGTGCTAGGTGATGTCGTCTTCATTTAAAAGCCAAGGCGCATTTGTTTGGTTTAAGTAATAATAATAATAATGATGATAGTAAACATCAGGATGCTCAATCTTCGCCACTCGGAATTGCAACACGCCTTGACCTAGTCCTTAATGAACAAGATATATTCAAGCACCGAAGGCAGATTTGGGCTACAACCTATGGCGCTTGATGGGCAGATGGTTGATGGATGAATTTAATCACAGGCCGTGCAGCCTGGGATTCGTCCTTCCTGGAAGCCTGACATTGATACAGAGAAGCTAGGAATTGCCCATCTACCAGGCTACTTGTGTTGTCTAGCCGAGTTTGAATCATCAAATGTTTCGGCACTAGTTTAAACGTTGTCCTAATCCCGTCTTGATATTCACTAGAACCAGCACGAATCCTTGCAGGATTTGTTGAGGCGTAGCCCCTCTCCCAGCCAAGCTGCAAGTTGAAGTTCGGCAAATCAGCAGGTTTTATGTTCAGAGCTGCGCCAGACACGTGGGCTCCCATGAGAAGTGTCTCACAGCGCAGGCAAGGGCTTGGCAAAGCCCCGGGCCAGGTGCAGGCCGCGTCCGGCGGAGTTTGCCCAAGTGAGAGGGGAAGCGTGGGGCCCATCACAAGGGCCTTTGGGAACAGGAGATCAGTGGAAAGCCTGCGCTTTGTTTGTGTGTTTCATCATGCTTGACTTTGTGTTCGCTCTTCGATCAGCGTTTGCTTTTCCTTGCACGTGTGCTTCGGCGGTTGCTTGGGCTTTGGCTTTCGCTTTCGAGTGACATGGCATGCGTGTCGACATTGTCGTCGACGTGCATGTGCAAATATATACACGTCCTGTGCGCGTGTGTGCGGGCACGCGGTCAGGGCTCTTTGGCACTGGTGTTTGCGCAAACGGAAGTCGCATAAATCCTGGAATGCGGCCCATTGAATGTGTGTGTGTGTGTGTGGCACCTGCTTATGCTGTTTGGAGCGAGACAGAAACGTCGTATAGAAGAGCTTCATTTGTGTAAAGTAAGAGTCGTCGCTGTCCGTGTTGACGCCAACACCAGGTTGTGGTTTGTCCAAGATTTCGAAAGGTCGCGTTGTTGGCTCAGAAGGTGAAGCCATCAGAATAGAGAACGCCTCAGAAGGATTCGAAGGCAAGCTTCTCCACCTAAGGAACGAACTTCGAGGGTTCTAGGGGTTGATTTCCCATTCTTTTCAACCATCATTCTGTTCAGAAACCAGCTGTTTCCCCTGGGGTTCTGAGAGTTTTCTGAAAAGAAGGATCCCTGGAAAGAATGGGGAAGTGTCCCCTAGGTAGGCCTTTTATCCCATCAACCCGTCACCTGTGCCAGGCCATCCAGAAGTGCCCACGCTGCGGTAAGGTCTGCCAAGCGGACGCCCCCATGTGCTGGCAATGCACCCAGGCCGATCCCGACACCGGTCAGTTCCTGGCTGGGGTCTGGGAGCTTATGCTGTTTCCTTGCAAAGTTCTCAAAACGGGGATCCTGTGAAAATGGTCTGTTATTTTTATTCTCCCCACTCGAACGCTGCGTCGCGCCGATGCAGCTAGCACAGCTTGAGCGATGCTGAGCCTGCACTTCAAGAAGCGGCTCAAGGCCACGAACGTGCAAAATCACAGGCCCTCCGAAGTGGCCTGGACTTAAAGAAAGCAGCCAGCACAGTGTGAACACGTTGCGCCAGCGCATCAGGCCAAGGAAACACAACCCCCGGTAACGGCCTTAAAATACCACAAGAAGGCCGAGTTACCTGCTTCACTTTCAGCTCCCAACCAAACACATCGGCAACCAAAAACAAGGCAAAACGGAAAACACCAACCAAAGCCCCCAAGGTCCGAGGAAAGGTCTCACCGGCAGAAAGTGCAGAGGGGTCAATCCAAGTCTGTGTCCTTTCATTGGAAACCAAAACGGGCAAAACAACAGCGGACTGCAGGTGGAAACCAACAAACAATTCCAAAAAAGACACAGGCATTTCCATGGTGGCCTCCAAATCTAAACTCGAGATCCAATCCGTGAGAGCCCTGGGAAAATGGGCTGTTAAAGTTGTTTCTTTTGGGGGTCCAAAATACAAACCAAAGGGGGTGCACTTTTTGTTTGAAACTCCCGTATATTGTGAAGGGAACATATATTCTTGAGTTGCCTGGAAAGGGCGGAGATTGTTCCATGTGATCGGGTTTTTTGAAGCTCTCAGGAGCCACAATCAAGACGCGGCGAGTTGAAGTTTACTGGGGGGACTGTCCAAACCAAGATTAGGTGTGGCCGCCTTTTCAACTTGTTCCGATAGTTTGGGTACCTTGTATCAGGTGTTCCCAACTCAAGTTGAGTTTGCGAGGTTATTACAGACCAGAGGCTTTGCATTTGGAGATTAAGTTTTCCGGGTGACTGGATGTTGAACTCAGAACATGGGCGCAACCTCAAGTTGGTGGGCAACCTGATTGAAGCATGTCTCCATCAAGGCATGTGCAGTCGAAAGCAGACGTCGACCTGCTTTGAGCCGGTAGGGTGTCTCGCATGCCCAGATTATCATAAAAAAAGGCGGTCACCTAATTCCTGGTTTGAAGGCATAGGCCAATTTGTTGATACATTGCCATGCTTCTTCTTCCTAATGCATTGTCTTCGGCACATTGATATACAAGCCTTCAGCTTGACTCAAGAAGCAGCTGAACCTTCCCACAACTCTGTTTGGACGTCTTGCATACGAGTTTGGGTGAGCGGCAATGCAAGAAGATTGTTACTCGTTCAGACGCTGGCCATGCAGTGTCAATACTGATTCAGACTTGGTATCGGATTGTGCATGACACTGTTGCCATCATTTTGGTACAGGACCAAACCAAAGTGAGGCAGTTGCATCAGTTTGGCCAGGCGGAACCTGTAAGTGTGAAATCTATTGAAGAGGAATTGGCACAGCATTGTACTAACATTCAATCGTTTGTGTCACGAAGTTTGCCCGTACCCCTTGCCCCAGGAACAGCATTCGGCACGTCCTGGATCCGAGGGCAGGCGAGTGAATGGGAAAGAGAAACCCTTGAAGGTTGTTTGAGAACCTTTTCGTGTCCCACTTCTCCAGTGCCGCGTTAAGTTTGGTTTTTGGCCACGTGCTGGCCAGTTGGTACATCGCTCAACGCAAACCTTTGAAGCTGGCTTTTTTGTATGGGCGAGAACTCTCTGGGCATTTTCTGCTTTGGAAGCCTTCCTTTCCTCGGCTCTTCCTGAAGGTTTCGCCCCCCAAACTCCAAACAGGCCATCGGCGGATTTGTGCGGTGCCGGCAAGTTGGGCGCGTGAATATTTCGCAGAGTTGCTGCGTGATAGGCCCGTGATATGCTACTGGAAGCCATGAGGCAAAAGTTGCAGTAGCTGGATCCGTGCACGCAGGCCTGATCTGCAAGGACAGGGGTAACGAGTGCATCTCAGGGAGACAAGTGTAGCACGTGATCCAGGCCAAGCTGGCAGCTTCCATCAACCACGGATAGTCAGGTTTTATGCACATCCAGTGGATACCCTTGGCCTATTCTTGGTCGAAAACGTCTAGTGGATACCCTTGGCTTATTCTTGGTCAAATCATGTGACGATCATTTTTATGAGTTTATGGCTGTCCTCGAACACGCTTCAATTGATTTCAGGTCTCAGTGTCAGCAAGCCATTAAGTTTACAAGCAATGAACCGCGAGACGGAGGGTTGTTTGGCACAACCTATTGGAGGTTCGGACCGGGACGTGACCAGTGACCAGTGACTTTGCTTTCTTGGGCCGGCTTGGCAGGAGTCAGGATGCTTCGGCCCCAGCGAGGGAATAAGAGACACGCACCAGTCAGCTTTTGAATCCCATTTTGGTTTCACAGGAAGATTGACCAGCCGAAGTACTGCTTGCCCCTGCCTAACTCGTTCTTCCCTGCGCCTGCCTTGAGCCACCTGAGGTCTATGCCATCTCCGGGCCGACCACCGCTCCAGCTGCGAGCTTACGGACTTGGTTTGGCGACTGGGTGGATTGGCTGCTTTTGGGTGGAAGGCAGAACTTGGCTGCTTGCCTGGGATCAGGCAATTCAGCGAGTGCGTGAGCTGTTGAATAAGATCGTGGTAGCGCACACTTAGACCATAGGTAGCCGTGCTGCGACTACAGTAGATAAGTCTCGGCAACATGAGGTACTGGCCATTGGTAATGCAGATATGCTTGTGAATATTGCTCAACTGGCTATAACCATTTGGTTTGCTCTTGTGCAAGTTAGAACTCATGGCATGGCATTGGCAGCTTTCGACTGCGTGTTGCCGTTCGGGGTTTGCTGATCTGGCTGGTCCCAGTATGTTAATTGCAAAAATAACATGTCCCCCTCTACTGACACACCTACAGACAGGTTGAGATGAGAATCTCCAAAGGCCCAGGCAGCCAGTTGCGAATCGCTCTCTGATAATTAAATGTGGGCTTGGGGCTGGATGAGGGGTCCATGGAAATCATGGAAAATGATAGGATGCATTTCCTTTGCATTTTAGCCATGGGAGCGAGTGTCAACCCGGGCGTTTTTTCTTCTTGGCCGAGGCCAGAGCCTCGCACTGAGCCCTGGGGCATGGATTCACGGACTGTAGAGCCATGGCCAATAGAGCCTCGGCCTACCATGGAGCCTCGGCAAACCATGGAACCTCGGCCTACCATGGAGCCTCGGCCTACCATAGAGCCCCGTCCTGCAGAGCCTCGGTTGTCGCAGGCGGGGCACGATAACAGAGAAGAGAACAGACCAGCGGAGAGTAAAGCTCAGCGAGCAGCAAGTTGATAACCAGGGAGTGGAGAAGGACACGGGATGACACACACACACACACAAACAGACACTCACACAAGAGAGCAGACTGACATGAGCAATGGGAGAAGAAAGCAAAGAGCAGAGAAGGCGAAGAATACTATGAGTATGGAGCGAGTAGAAGCAGGAGCTCGAAGAGTGGGTGGGAGGAGAAGAAGGAAGGTGGGCAGTCAATATGGTAGCTAAAGTTAAGAGATCAAAGAGATAAGAAACATGAAAGGGGCGGGGAAACGTGGAAAGATCGACTTCACACATGTCTATATAGAGAAGGGGAGGCGGAAGAGAACACTGGCATCTGAAGCCCGCGCGCGTGCAACGCGTGGACTTTCATTTGCACACGTGTCTCAAAGTTCAAGCAGAGCTAAAAAGCACTCGATGGTGCAGACAATCTTGTGCCTGAGCTCTGAGTGCTGTGCATGATTGAAGCGACTGTGGCCATCTGAAATTCCCTTCCGAGCGTAATTACCCAGAATCCGAGTTGACTTTCAAACTCAACTCAACCGCCAACTACAAAGCAAATAGAGGCTACGTCCGAGGCTGCTTGCATTATTGACAAGAAGTTCGTTTCACCTACCCAAAGGAACTCCACCATAGCTTTGGAGGCAAAAGTATGCACATGTATGATGCTGGTTTGGAAAGGAACCCCACCATCTCAGGGGACCACTTTGAGACCCCCCCCCCCCATATTTGCCCCAAAGGCCAGCTCTCGGGGGAAGCCTTTGTGCTTGGAGGTCATGCCAGTGGCACTACCGCAGCAGGTCCGGGAGTCTGGGAGGGAAAGAAGCCGCGCATGCAAAGAACTCATGCGATGTGTACAGCATGGAAGGCGAACCCCAGATTTGACTTGGCAAATAGCAGTTTAAATTCTGTAGACACAAGCCAGCGCGCTCTGACGTGCAGTAAACGACCTGGAGCGCCTGACTTGGAAGACATCTCCTATGCAGGTCGCCGCGCCTGCGTCGTGGCAGCCTGCCTCCCCCTATGGAGGATGACCGCGATGCCTTTCCGGGGTCATCAGGGAATTGTTCGAGAGGTTTTGGGAAGCCTTGAAATCCCTGAAGAAACCACCACTGGGATGATTTATATGTTGTTTCTTTCTGAAAGCGAGGCTTCTTGATCATGCAACGCCCTATGAACGAGCTTGCTGTCATACAAGATAGAATGAGCCCAGCCCTGAAGCTTCTTTCCTTGGGGCGTTTGACCATTGGATACCTGCCTCCCAAAGCCTTTGCACTTGGCTTAGAGCCCAGAGTCCCTTGCCAGGGCGACCCTTTTGGCATTCCACTGACACCAAATGGGGAGAGGGGCTCCCGGATCGCCCAGGCAGCTTAGAGAGTGTTGTAACACCCCCTTGTATCGAAAATGGTGGTCAGGGCCTGTCGCCCCTTCAAGCCCTTCAAATGTTTCGATAGTGCGCCGGCAGACAACATTTGCCGATGTTCCTCTTACGCAGACTTGTCGCTGGATCTTTGTCCAGGAGCCATCGAAGGCAGGCCAGTTTTGGGTAAAGTGGTTGGCCAAGACGGTTCAGGGGATTGGATTCAGCCAGCGCAAGGCTGGCTTTCGCCTTACTTGCCTTTGCCTTTTTTTGCAGCGCTTGGTAGGACTGCCAACTGCGGACTCGGTGGGTCTGCACCTTAAGCGAGAGGATGAGGGAGACGTTCACTCTGACATGGTGGCTCAGAATAGCCAACCGTTCTAGTTGTCTTTTGTCTGCAAACTGGGGGGGGGGGGTTTACCTCAGTTTTTTTTTGCAACAGCCAAGATGTCAGGGAACCAATCTACTGAAGGCAGCTGGGGCTTCCAGCAGGGCCGCCAGCTGCGGTACTTTGGCGTGATGTGCAAGGACGACGTGGAGGCACTCCGCTCGTCTGATTGTCCATGCACTCCGCCCGGCGGGAAAGGCAGGCATGTGAAATTGCCCACAGCGTACATGTTTGTCCTTCCACTAAGTCACTAAGAATGCGGGAGTGGGAACGTGGAAATGCTTGTTGAGCTCTCAGATGACTCTGTCACGGAAGCGTTTTGTTCAGTGATCTCTGTCTGAGCTTTTTCCTCAGATACGAGCGTCGCCGACTTATGCTGACGATGCTCGAGTTGGCCACTTCCTTCATCCTGGGCAAGTAGTGGTGGTGGATGACCGCCGGATGGCCACATTCTCAATGTGGATGCGTTTGCTTATTATCAGTAACAGCAAGTTGCTACGAGTTCCGCTCGTCCCGCAGAGAAAGTGCAAATGAGAGATCATAAGCACGGTTACCGACCACTCCCCAATGAGGCCCAACATCCAAGATAGCCTGTGGATGATGCGAGAAGGGAGCAAGAGGGCATCTCTGGTGATTGGGACACTTGCTTACTTGAAAACGGCAAGTCTTCTTTACTCATTCTTGTGATTCCTGTAAGGGGGCTTTGTCGCGTTACACGGAGGCTCTTAGTTTCGGCAGGATCTACACGCTGTTTGTATGGCTTTTCCGAAATTTGTCGTTGGCTACACGCGAGCTGTTGCCAAAGTTCCAAACCTAGGGAGCACAAGCCTAGTGTTGTTCACCAAAAGCAGCGGCAATTGAAATCTTTGCTGCAGGGAAGTGGCTGAGGTCAATGGCTCCTGCTTTCTGCATCTTGCTGATGGTCGCGGATGGGTCTTTGAAACCAAGGCGCGGCACCTGGCACGTAAATTCTTTGGCGCACTTGCCAACGACCGACCTCGTGCCGTTTGTGTGGGGTCTACAAAAGCCTGCGGGATTGTTAAAACGTGGGATTGAGAAAGAGTGGGCTATACAGTACAGCTCTGAACGGATCATGTGACTCTGTTGTCCGACTTTGTTTCTTCCATCCAGCCGCATAATATCTCGCCAGAACAAGCCTGTACTGAGGTATCATGAGCAGTTGCTAATTGAGATATTGTTGGGCTACCCAACCTGCAGTGCGCACCCATTCATCATTCCGCGTTGTCAAAGATTGTGATGATGTGTACTACCTACAAAACTTGATTGATAGATTGATACCAGGCCTTTTTTATGGGGCCCTTCTGTAATGGGAGGAAGGGGGGATGCAACCAGGGCTGGGGGGGGGGGGGGTTGGGGTGGGGGGGAGGGTTGCCTTTACTCTTTCATTCGCGAGAAGGTTCCTTGACCATGCCAATCGGCTTTCATGCGTCGGGTTGACGCGTTGCCTTTTACCTGTGTCATGAGTCAGAAAGCGGATCCTAGTTATGTTTCCATGATGTGCTGCAGCGCAGCCAATTTGGCATACGTACTCTTTTTACATGATTCAGATTGGTTTCCTTGAGATGAACTAGTAGACATTGAGATTACTTAATTGAATTCCGTCAGGACCGATTGCTGGTCATGACGGAGGTGCAGGACTTTGAGCGGGGGTCGGCCTCCTAGAGCCGGGAGGCGACCAGGGAGGCTTGGCGCTTCGAGTCATGGTTGTTGGGAAACATTTACATGATTGCTGATTGTGGTTTAGTGGTTGAGTTCCCCACTGAACTGCTAAAATTTAAGTTTTTGCTCCCCTTCCAACGTCAACCAAGTAATTTACTCAATCTCGTGCACCCTGAAAGCAGACAGCAAAAAGTGCCCAATTGGTTGCCTGGGTTTCATGTTCTGACAAGTCCTGCATGCTCAAACGCCACTTCCTTGCCTCCCAGGCTTTGGCACTACAGCGTAATTTGCGAGGCGCGGCATGGTGAGGTTTGCACCACAGCGTTTTCTCATCGGAAATCCTGCCTCCCTGGCTCGCCCAGCAAGTCGAACACGGCAAGCACATGCACCTAAACACGAACTTAAAGGTACGCTTCTTGTACTTGGACATTTGCGCTGCAGGAGGATGTGGAGACCAGAATCTCCCCAACGCGCCCTCAGCGATTTGGGTGGGGCGGCTTGACGAGGTCGATTGCCTGGCAGCATGCCGTCATAATTACAGCGCTGGCACGTATTTCCAAACATGTGGTTGCCCATATTTTTTCAAACAGCGGCCTGGACTTCTCAGAGTCTCTGACGTTTTGTTCCACAGATCTGTTGCATGAGTTCGTTTGAGCGGGGCAGTACTCGGCCACTCGCTCAACGGGCGGGGGCCAGCGGGCTCGCAGGTACTCCGATGATGCGCGGACCGGTGTGGTCCTGCCTTCCGGCGGGCTGCATGCCGTCGGCATGAGAGACCCCCAGCACAGCCGAGCATCGCGACAGAGGGCTTGAATAAGCCGCGGTGACAGGAACCTCGGACTAGCATACCACTAGAAAGAGCTGGCTCCTGACCAAGAGAAACCCCCGAAGAGGTGTTGGAATTCAAGTTCAAATCATTCCACCTCTAGATTGACCTTGTTTTGCAATCGCCGTTCGCGCGGAGGCGATTGCATCGCTGTTGACGAGCGGTGTACTGTGGCCAATGCGCGGTGCCAATCCCAGTTTTACGAGTTCAACCGGTGATAAACTAGGGTTGTCGATTGGCAGTTTCAGAAGTTTGCAGGGAAGATACCTTTTCTCAGGCATTGCCAGTTTTATGTTTGTTATGGTGAGCCTTGACCGTTGCCATGTTGGTTTCTATTCCACACGTTTTGCATTTTGTCTTGCATGTGCACGATCTCTCTCCTCTTGGCTCGCAGAGCGTTTCGCGGGCAGCGTGAGCGGACGGCGAGGTTCTTGAAGCTTGCAGATGGTCGAGGATGGGTTTTTGAGACGAAGGACCGTCTCCTCGTTATGAGCGAGGCTGGTCTCGCATGCCCAGCATGTGTCGATCAAGCAGTGGACCCAAGCAGGATATAGGGAGCTTGCTTACAAGAGAGGACATGTAGACATCAAATACAAGATTTGTTGTTGGAGGAATGAGGATAGTGAATATGTAGGAAATCAACGTTTGGCTGCTACACTCAATGCAATGTCGGTGGAGCAGCGTAATGCTCCCTTCCCTCCATGAGATGCTCGCTTTGCTTCCCGGACCCCTGAGCCGTAGACCTATTTATCAAGAGGCTGTGCAAAACAAGTTGAGAGTAAGTCCACATGTCTGACCAGTGGTCATTTTTAAGGATTGGGAGTTACTCACCAATGAACCAACCTCCCATATCAGTTGGGGACACGATGAATATTGACAGGTCAACATTCACGTTGAATTGGTTCAATTGTAAGTTGCAGTTGCAACTTGAGCCTTCTAGCTGTGAATCGTCACATTGCATTAATATTCAGAGAGTCGATTGGAATTCTTGATGCCAACTACGCTGTTGATGGTTGTTGCCGGCAAGGGTGACCGTAGGCTGAGCGATATGTCAGAATTCGGGGAAGGGATTCTGATGCATCCTTGGACTTGCAAGTGCATTTTGGCTGAGTGAAGTGACACCAGTGAAGTCTTTGGCTCCTAAAGCTTGGCAGCCCCGAGCGAATTTGGGCCCAAATTCGGAGGTGAGCCCTTCATCTGCCCAAGCTTGCTGCGATTGGGAGGGAATGTCCAAATGGAATGATCCCAAGAAAAACCCTCCAACTGGTGGTTTAGGGGACCAAAGCCTGGGTTCAATCTTATATTCCCTGCCTATCGCAAGCAATGGAAAAGCGCAGGTGAGGCCGAAGGCCCAGGAAGCCCGGGACTTTGCTCGGGGCATGTGGCTCGGAACCCCGGTGATCACCGGCCACAACTGTCACGCGTATGTCGTGTTTTGGTGGTACCCTTTTGGGGCTTGGTCTTTAAGGGGAAACCAAATACATACATTCATATTGCTTTTTTGTCTGTTTTGGCACAGTAACCGGTGTTTCTATTCAGTTCTCTTCGTGTCAGTCAGCTCTTGCGACTTGGTGGCAGCCCGCAGCCATCTCGGGCGAATTGGCCATCAGGCCGGCCACCAAGCTGGTTTTCCCCTAGCAATCGCACTCCCCAAACGGTGGAAGTTTGGGTGTGGGTGTGAAGCAAGGTATTCCGGGGCGGGAGCTATGCCTGACTATGCCGGAGTTCAATCTTCGTGAGACTGTGTATTACTGAGTATCCTGCATTGTTGTAGATGGGGTTAGCTGATGTGGCACAAATGGCTGCTGTGCTCCGAGAGGTTTGGATTGATGATGGAGCAAGTATGGATGGATTTTCCAATGGATTGTCTATAATGCTCTTGCTTGTTGTTGCGCACTTGTACATGAGGCATGTGTTCTGCTTTATTCACATGGCAGCATTCCTCGTAGATGTTGCAGCGTTCTCCGATATGTTTCACCGAAGTTGCCATTACAATGTTTTCTGCCGGCTGGAGTCGCTCAAGAGCGGAGGCACTACTCCGTGGTGTGTGACGATGATGTGGAGATCCGGGCTGCGCCCACGTACTCCGATGAGGCTTGCAGAAAGTGAGCTAGCACGGTCCATGAGAAGTGTTTCTTTGTCATGAGAATGCTGGTTTTGCACGCTTTGCAGATGGCAGATCGTTGTAGATGGAGTATGGCGCTGCTGGTAGCTTGTGAATGAACTGTTTCATGTCAGGGTCCGACCTCCTGCTCTCAAAGTAAAGGTGCAGTGGAAGCAGTCTGCAGTTGAAAGCGATGTTGTTCAACTTGTATTCCTCAAACAGTGTGTCGACACTAAGGGCGGTGAGAGTAAGGCAGGGTGTCATTGGAGCATGCGCCTTTGAGCGGCGTCGATTCTTGTGAGACGGCTCGTGCAGAAAATGTGTCCAAAATCACAAGTATATCGCAAGTTCATTTCGACTGCGCAGGCTGCGTGTTTCTCCGCGGGTGTGTTTAGAGGGTGCGCTCGAGAGCCGTGGCGTGAGAATTCCACCAATGGAGTGGTGCACCATGTGCACCCTTCGCGGCTGGGCTGTCAGGTTGCTCTCACCGCGGCACGGTGCGAGTGATCGAAGCTGACCGTTAGCCTCGGGCAGGTAGCGTCACCTCGCGCGGCGCAAATGTTTGGCACCGTTTGCGAGGCTTCAGCGTACTCTGAGCGTGGCCTGGTGATATATTATGGATTTCGCGTAAAACCCTGTCAAAAGATGCTTCAAGAGATCTTCCGCAATATTGCCAGATCCTCTCCAAGGGCTATTGTGCGCAATCGAGCTCCTTTTCAGAGACCTTGCACATACAGATCCTAGTCAGAGATCCTGCAATTTGATCTTGTAACCTTCTATATAGATCGTGAGTGAAGATAACCTGAACGAGATCCCGCACAAGACGTGCAAGAAGATGGTTCAATATGTTTAGGATTGCTCCCAAGATTGTTTAGTTCCTTCTTTAGAGCTGTTGATATTCCAGCAAGAGATCTTGCACAGGACCTAGCATGGACCTTAGAGGTCTTGCAAACAGACCTGGTCGAGAACTGGATCGAGATACTCCCAAGAGACCCTAGGTGCAGATGCAAGGTTCGATCCTAGGGTTTTGCTTGCCAGATGTCAGGCACGCACTGGGCTGACAGTCCATCCTGGTGACTGTGTCGCAGTTGACGAGTGGGCAGCTCAACGAAGTCGGACACGATACGGCAAGAGTGGCAACGAAGGTGTAGGACGTATATCTATATCTATATATATATATATGTATGTTAACGCCTCCGGCTCAGGCCGCCGACATTACAGGCCTGCTTTCTTATTTGCGTCCCTTTGGAATTGTCCCCTTGCCCCCTTCCCCTCTAAGATTTTTGCCCCCCTTTCCCTGTTGAGATCCATTCCCCCTTTCCCCCCTAAGGCCCTTTCTCCCTCTGATATTTTTTTTAATTCCCCCTTTCCCCCCTAAGGCCCTTTCTCCCTCTGATATTTTTCCCCTTTTCCTCCCTAAGATGTTTTCCCCCCTCTCCCTGTTGAGATCCTTTCCCCCCTTTCCCCCCTAAGGCCTTTTCCCCCCTGAGATCTTCTCCCTTTTCCTGCCTTTCCCCCACTTTCCCCCCTGAGGCCTTTTCCCCCCCTGGGATCTTTTCCCTTTCCTCCCTAAGATCTTTTCCCCCCTTTCCCTGTTGAGATCCTTTCCCCCCTTTCCCCCCTACGGCCTTTCCCCCCGCTGAGATCTTCTCCCTATTCCTCCTTAAGATCCTTTGCCCCCTCTCCCTGTTGAGATCCTTTCCCCCCTTCCCTTTAAGGCCTTTCCAGATCTTCTCCCTTTTCCTTCCTAAGATTGTTTCCCCCCTTTCCCTGTTGAGATCCTTCCCACCCTTTCCCCCCTAAGGCCTTTCCCCCCCTTTAAAGCTTCTCCCTTTTCCTTCCTAAGATGTTTCCCCCCTTTCCCTGTTGGCCTTTTTTCCCCCAGATCTTCTCCCTTTCCTCCCTAAGATCGTTTCCATCCCTTTCCCTGTTGAGATCATTTCTCCCCTTGCCCCCCTAAGGCCTTTGCCGCCAGATCTTCTCCCTTTCCTCCCTAAGATCTTTCCCCCCCCCTTTCCCTGCTGAGATCCTTTCCCCCCTTTCCCCCCTAAGGCCTTTCCCCCCCTGAGATCTTCTCTCTTTTCCTCCCTAAGATCTTTTGCCACCTTTCCCTGTTGAGATCCATTCCCCCTTTCCCCCCTAAGGCCCTTTCTCCCTCTGAGTTTTTCCCTTTTCCTCCCAAAGATGTTTTCCCCCCTTTCCCTGTTGAGATCCTTTCCCCCCTTTCCCCCCTAAGGCCTTTTTTTCCCCCCACGATCTTCCCCCTTTTCCTTCCTAAGATCTTTCCCCCCCTTTCCTTATTGAGATCCTTTCCCCCCCTTTCCCCCCTAAGGCCTTTTCCCCCCCAAGGTCTTCTCCCTTTTCCTCCCTAAGATCCTTTGCCCCATTTCCCTGTTGACATCCTTTCCCCCCTTTCCCCCCTAAGGCCTTTCCCCCCTGAGATCTTCTCCCTTTTCCTCCCTTTCCCCCCCTTTCCCGCCTAAGGCCTTTTCCCCACCTGGGATCTTTTCCCTTTCCTCCCTGAGATCCTTCCCCCCCTTTCCCTGTTGAGATCCTTTCCCCCCTTTCCCCCCTAAGGCCTTTCCCCCCGCTGAGATCTTCTCCCTATTCCTCCCTAAGATCCCTTGCCCCCTTTCCCTGTTGAGATCCTTTCCCCCCTTTCCCCTAAGGCCTTTCCAGATCTCCCCCTTTGCCTTCCTAAGATTGTTTCCCCCCTTTCCCTGTTGAGATCCTTCCCACCCTTTCCCCCCTAAGGCCTTTCCCCCCCCCTGAGAGCTTCTCCCTTTTCCTTCCTAAGATCTTTCCCCCCTTTCCCTGTTGGCCTTTTTCCCCCAGATCTTCTCCCTTTCCTCCCAAAGATCTTTTCCACCCCTTTCCCTGTAGAGATCATTTCTCCCCTTTCCCCCCTAAGGCCTTTGCCCCCAGATCTTCTCCCTTTCCTCCCTAAGATCTTTCCCCCCCTTTCCCTGCTGAGATCCTTTCCCCCCTTTCCCCCCTAAGGCCTTTTTTTCCCCCGCGATCTTCCTCCTTTTCCTTCCTAAGATCTTTTCCCCCCGTTCCTTGTTGAGATCCTTCCCCCCCCTTTCCCCCCTAATGCGTTTTCCCCCTCAAGATCTTCTCCCTTTTCCTCCCTAAGATCCTTTGCCCCCTTTCCCTGTTGAGATCCTTTCCCCCCTTTCCCCCCTAAGGCCTTTCCCCCCCTGAGATCTTCTCCCTTGTCCTCCCCAAGATCTTTTCCCTTGGTTGAGATCCTTTCCCCCTTTCCCCCCGAGATCTTCTCCCTTTTCCTCCCTAGGATCTTCTCCCACCTTTCCCTGTTGAGCTCCTTTCCCCCTTTTCCCCCTAAGGCCTTTTCAGATCTTCTCCCTTTTCCTCCCTAAGATCCTTTGCCCCCTTTCCCTGTTGAGATCCTTTCCCCCTTTCCCCCCTAAGGCCTTTCCCCCCCTGAGATCTTAAGGATCTTTTCGCTTTTCGATCCTTTCCCCCTTTCCCTCCTAAAGCCTTTTCCCCCCCTGAGATCATCTCCCTTTTCCTCCCTAAGATGTTTTCCCCCCTTTCCCTGTTGAGATCCTTTCCCCCCTTTCCCCCCTAAGGCCTTTTCCCCCCTGAGATCTTCTCCCTTTTCCTCCCTAAGATCTTTTCCCACCTTTCTTTATTGAGATCCTTTCCGCCCTTTCCCCCCTAAGGCCTTTTTTTCCCCCCGCGATCTTCCCCCTTTTCCTTCCTAAGATCTTTTCCCCCCTTTCCTTGTTGAGATCCTTCCCCCCCCTTTCCCCCCTAAGGCCTTTTCCCCCCAAGGTCTTCTCCCTTTTCCTCCCTAAGATGTTTTCCCCCCTTTCCCTGTTGAGATCCTTTCCCCCCTTTCCCCCCTAAGGCCTTTCCCCCCCTGAGATCTTAAGGCCTTTTCCCCCCCTGAGATCGTCTCGCTTTTCCTCTCTAAGATCTTCTCCCACCTTTCCCTGTTGAGAGCCTTTCCCCCCTTTCCCCCCTAAGGCCTTTCCCCCCCTGAGATCTTCTCCCTTGACCTCCCTAAGATCCTTCCCCTCTTTTCCGGTTGAGATCCTTTCCCTCTAAGGCCTTTCCCCCCAGATCTTCCTCCCTAAGATCTTTCCCTCCCTTTCCTCCCTAAGATCTTTCCCACCCTTTCCCTGTTGAGACCCTTTCCCCCCTTTTACTCCCTAAGGCATTCCCCCCCTGAGATCTTTCTCCCTTTTCCTCCCTCAGATCCTTCCCCTCTCTTTTCAAGTTGAGATCCTTTCCCCCCTTTCCCTTCGAAGTCCTTTTCTCCCAGATCTTCTCCCTTTCCTCCCTAAGATCTTCCCCCCCCCTTTCCTCTAAGATCTTTCCCACCCTTTCCCTGTTGAGATCCTTTGCCCCCTTTCCCTCCTAAGGCCTTTCCCCCCCTGAGAGCTTCTCCCTTTTCCTTCCTAAGATCTTTTCCCCCCTTTCCCTGTTGGCCTTTTTCCCCCAGATCTTCTCCCTTTCCTCCCTAAGATCTTTTCCAACCCCTTTTTCTGTTGAGATCATTTCCCCCCTTTTCCTTCTAAGGCCTTTCCCCCCCTGAGATCTTCTCCCTTTTCCTCGCTAAGATCTCCCCCCCCCTTTCCCGGTTGACATCCTTTCCGTCCCCAAGATCTTTCCCTTCCCCCCCCCATCTTCTCCCCAGTTCCCCCTCGAATACATTTTTCACGGACTGAGTTCTCTTCACTGCCCTTCGCTTTCCTTCACTTCCCTTTGGAAATTTGACTTCTTGTCCTTTCCCGGCTTTTCCCGTCATATCCCCACGTTTCCCCAGCATGGGCAACATCTCTAGCATTACTTGCATCATTTGCAGCACGGTTTGCAAATAATCCGGATGATGCAAGTATTGCTGGCGATGTGCCGCTGGGGCTGCTAAGGGTGCGAAAGCGGACCCGGCAGGAATCGAACACCCCAATGTTTTTGCAAAACTGAAGCCCGCAAAAAAATGAAGAGATTTAGTGAAGCGTCCCCACCCACACCCACACCCACACCCACACCCACCCCCACCCCCACCCCCACCCACCCTACCCACACCCACACCCACACCCACACCCCCACCCACACCCCCACCCACAAACCCACCCACCCGCACACCCACCCGCACACCCACCCGCGCGCCCACCCGCGCGCCCACCCGCGCGCCCACCCGCGCGCCCGCCCCGCGCGCCCGCGCCCGCCGCCCGCCCCCGCCCGCCCGCCCCGCCCCCGCACCCGCCCCGCACCCCACCCCCGCACCCACCCCCACCACCCCCGCACCCACCTGCACCCACCTGCGCACCCGCACCCACCCCGCACCCACCCCCGCACCCACCCTCGCACCTGCGCCCCGCACCCACCCCCGCACCCACCCCCGCACCCACCCCCGCACCCACCCCCGCACCCACCCCCGCACCCACCCCCGCACCCACCCCCCGCACCCACCCCCGCACGCACCCCCGCACCCACGCACCCACGCACCCCCGCACCGGGTGGGGGTGGGGGTAGGGGTGGGGGTGGGGGTGGGTGGGTGTGGGTGGGTGTGGGTGGGTGTGGGTGGGTGTGGGTGGGTGTGGGTGGGTGTGGGTGGGTGTGTGGGTGTGGGTGGGTGTGGGTGGGTGGGTGGGTGGGTGCGGGGGTGTGTGGGTGGGTGCGGTGGGTGCGGGGGTGGGTGGGTGCGGGGGTGGGTGGGTGCGGGGGTGGGTGGGTGCGGGGGTGGGTGGGTTGTGTGGGTGGGTTGGTGGGTGTGTGGGTGTGTGTGTGGGTGGGTGTGTGGGTGGGTGCGGGGGTGGGTGGGTGTGGGGGTGGGTGGGTGCGGGAGTGGGTGGGTGCGGGGGTGGGTGGGTGCGGGGTGGGTGGGTGCGGGGGGTGGGTGGGTGCGGGGGTGGGTGGGTGCGGGGGGTGGGTGGGTGTGGGGGTGGGTGGGTTCGGGGGTGGGTGGGTGCGGGGGTGGGTGGGTGCGGGGGTGGGTGGGTGCGGGGGTGGGTGGGTGCGGGGGTGGGTGGGTGCGGGGGTGGGTGGGTGCGGGGGTGGGTGGGTGCGGGGGTGGGTGGGTGCGGGGTACGTGGACCCCCCCCCCCCGCAATAGTCTAAAATGGTGCCCCGGGGAGGGGTAAGGGGAGGGGTAAGAGGTAAGGAACATTTCTCACGTCCAACACGCCGTTTGTTGTCGGCGGATATATGGGCAAGTGTGATCATGCATGTAGTTGAGTCTGTTGGCATTGGTCTTGCGCGTGGGATGCTTGGGCGCCGAATGAATGTGTTTGGGACTGGTACATACGGCACTGGCATCGATGGTGTTGTTCATACCATACGCAGATTCCTTGGGTTCCCAGACTGGGTGTAGGCGCTCGGAACCGCTCAGAGAGAGAGAGAGCGTTGGACTGAACATGTTTTTACGCACGTGACCTGCTCGAGGTTTGGTTTGTTTCGTCCGAGGCGATGCCGAGTTAATGCAACATGGTTCCTTCGACTTGCTGATGGAAGAGGATGGCTCTTTGAGACGAAGGACTGAGGATATGCAGCAGACCTACATACGCTCGCATGTGCCTGAGAATGGTGGATATGAATTTCCAACAAAATGGCAACAGGATCACAGAGTTTGTCTCATCTTCAGTTGATGAAGTCTGAGAAGTCACATCGGGCTTCGTTCCACGCATTGGGTCACCAGTCTAAGTTGCAATTCCCAGGACTCCCGCCGTGTTATGATGCAAATTCACTGAGCTCGTGATTGCCAGATGCCCCTGGTTCTGACAAATTGGCCTTAAGCAGTGTTGGCTGAGATGGTTGCCATCTTCCTTCTTGCAAACATGTCATCGGCAATCAAGGTCTTCCATAGGTTCCTCGAAACGCGGAGTTCGCAGCCCCAAAGAAGGGCGCGCGCCTTTGCGGGTGCATGTTCTGCGCAGCTTGCAGCGTGTGAAGATCAGGCGGATTTTTGAAAGGACAGCTTGGAACAGAAGTTACTGGCGTCAAACTATCGGAAGTATTGCTCGACGTGTTGGACTGTGGGCACCCAACCTGGTTTGCACCAAACACATACAACATTCAACTTGGTGTACGGTGTACCCAGATCAGATTACGATTTTGGGTGGCTGTAAGGTCGATTTCGAAGCCAAGCTGCAATCATGGGTGTCCTTTTTGGTTGTTTTGGTAGAAACATAGATGGCCCTGGTTTACTTGGTGGTTTAATCATCTACCAGGGCCATCTATTTCCCCTAAAAGGATACCTATGGCTGCAATCTTATTTGCAACTCAAGTCCACTCAGGTTTACCTGCCATTCAGGAAGGCGTGCTTGGAGTCTTGTAGCCCTTCCCAGTGTTTCAGTGCCGTTCTGCATATACGAACACGCAATGGGCAGATGCCTGTATTTCACCAGTTGCATTTGGGCTGCTCTAGGTGACTGCATGGTGCATGCACCAGCCTTCCGCGTTTTGTGCCGGTGCAATGCCAAAGACAGCTGCAAGATGCGGCTTGACCCATCGGATGCAGAAGGAAAGGGGAAGCGCTGCAGGCTGCATCAAGCAGCTTGTTGCCGCTCACAAAATGGATCGGGTGTGGGTGCCACATTGATCACAAGCATAGAACAAGCTGAGCAAACAGATACTGGGTGCTGCTGTGAGAAGATTCTGGCTATCGAATATATCATGCATCAGCTGATTTGTTGAATCCTCATCAAAGACTTGATGGCCATTTGCCAAGTGGCCAAGGCTCACAACGCATCGATACTTTTTTGTGCATTCACTGACCGAGACTCAGGCTCAAGGTCGCAGCAAGGTTACATGGAATGTGCCTTCACCAAAACAAACATACAGCCTGCACAGGGGTTCCCGGATGACCATGTTCCTTTTCAGGGGGGTGTTGTGGAGGTTCTATGATTCTTTTGGGGTAGACGATTCTTAGCCCAAGCCATTCCTGCGCCCTACTTAGTCGCCCCGTTCCGTTTGCCGGACAGGTCCGCCATGGCCGAGGATGATGCGCCGCTGACGAGCCTTACAAGCTCGCCCCCGTCAAAGGTGAAAGGGAAAGCGGTGAAGGACAGCGCGCCCGTGACGAAGCTGAAGAATGCGGCCTTTGACGACGCCTGGGACCCAAGCGCCAAGCTGATGACCGGGATTCTTTTTTGGCCAAGAGCCGAAAGTCCCAAACCGTGTGCGCTTGGTTGCCAGCCATCCCCTGAGGTGTTTGGCAGTTTAGGGTTTAGTAGGGGTTTCTTTTAGCAGGGGATCTGAGGCCAGCCCAGTGCAGACATAGTTGTCCGCACTTATGTGCAAGCTCAGGATATGCCCTTGTCATCCTTGGCTACTTCTGCACCGAAGACGTCGAAGGCTTGAGCACTGACAAATTAAAGTCACAGGGTTCTCAGGGTGTCATCGGAAGTTGAAGGTTTTTTGTAGTAAGATCGCTAGCAAGGGTCACTGTGTCAGCATACACAAGTATGTGTGGTGCTTTCCTCGCAGTATCCACGTTCAAGGCATGCACTTGTTTTCGCTGCTGGCTGCTGGAGAAAAAAGGCAATGGGCCTGCATTGACGATTTCTTGCCGTGAAAGGGACTCTTTGCATGTCGACTATGAGCCCTAAGGAAGGGCTAACGTACAAAGTTCCTTGCCTACTGAAATCCATGACATGCCACATCTGAAGCTTTTCACTTACCCACCCACAGGGGCCGGACAAGTGGCATGAACCAAGGAAGTCCAGAGTCATACCAACTCAAGGTTCCAGCAAAAAGGAGCCAAGTTTGCCCTGTGACGCTCCATTTGGCAACCTCAGGCGCCTGCAGGCAAAGCCAAGGCCAAAGGAAGGGGCAAGGCGCCCGCCCGCGTTGGGTTGCTTGCCCATTGCAAGATGTTGCTGATCTTGGAACATATCACCATTGGAGGAATGTCTGCTCCGTTTCGTGCCTTGTTTGCAAGCAATGTGGCAAAGAGGTCCGGGAATCAGATAGGAAACCCATTCATCATCTTGATCTCTTCACCATCTCTTCGCTATCTCTGCATCCACGACCATCCCCACAAAGATTTGTGCCGTGGCTTAGGGGTTGGATCCAAGACAAATGAGAAGTGCACGCCGGGGGGCAGCTCCATGTGTTGCTTGACGCGCTTCAAACAGCGCCTCTTGAGTGCTGTTTGGCCTACGGCACTCTGGCAGGGGAAGGCAAATGGTGCCAAGAGGCCTGTGTCCGGCGCCCTCACTGTTGAATGTTAGGACATTTGCCAAATAGGCGTCCTTGGAACAGTCATTTGCCATCATAGACGGCCTGGACATGGGCCCTGGGAACAGGAAGGGTCTTTCCAGCTGCGCAAGCGCAGTTTTCTCAGCGGCTCTTTTGGCCAAAACAAGGGAGGGTGATGCCAGACACGGCAGTGGCCAATGCAACAGGGAAAGCAGTGCTTTTCAAGACAGGACTACACTCACACAAGTATCACTGGATAAAAGCTACAGTGTCAGTTGATCCAAGCAGTCAGTCTTTACGTGTGGGACTCGTTCACAGAGTGAGTGTAGGTGAGACTTTCGTTGCAAACTGCATGTGTGTGTGTGTGTGTGCTGATGCAGCCAAACAGCAAGTAGTGCGTGATGATGAAGATTCAAGAGTCCAACTGAATGCTAAGCTGCGATCCTGGCTTGCAACTCCTGAACCAGATATTTCATTTGCTGATGGAGAGCCTGCACAACTCCTGATTTGATGCACCATCATTCTGTCGAAGAATGTCATGTTTGGCTGGTAGTAGTTGTTTCCAGCCGAATGTTTTTTATTCTCGTCGTTGAAAGCAGCAGCCGCGCCGGCGGCCAGCCAGCATTTGCATGCAACGCATGAGATGTGAATGGATGACTTTGAGCGTGGATACCGAAGTGGCTGTGGCTCAAAAATCCGGCACCAAAATGGCACCTTGGTAAATGGAACCAAAGACTGAAACCTGCGTAACCCTAGCTCTTGAATTTTGAGCCACACCCAAGCGCGTCAAAACTGGGAATCTCCGACTTGCCCCAAGCTCAACGCGCCAGGGTCAGGGAAAGCTCCAGCAGCAGCTCCAGCTCCAGCAGTAGCAGCTCCGGCCCATGCCTGAATCAAAGGCCTCTGAACTCCATTGGTTTGCAAGAGACACAATTCTAGGGCTACCTTCCATTTCCATTCTTTCCAGTGATCCTTCTTTCCAGAAAACCTCCAGAAACCCAGGGAAAACGGCGATTGGTTTTTGAAAAGAACGATTATTGAACATGAGGAATCAACTCCTGGAACTAGCCATGTGCAAGCGGCGCGAGATTCGAAGCTTTCAAATCGAGGTCCAGCCACGGAGAAGAAGCCCAAGGCCAAGGCGGCGAGCAAAGCCAAGAGGCCCGAGTGGTGTCCCGACCTTTGAGGCTCCCTTTCCCGGGTTTTTTGCCTGCCCTTTTTGCGGTGATAAGGTTGAACGATATTCTTGTTTGGTCCCCAAAACGAGCATGGGTAACTTTTTCCATGAAAGTCAAATTGTGGTTGGTGGTTTCCCCAAGGGACACCCCATGTATACCGGACCTCTTGATCAACCCCCACATCTCTGAGATCTAGAGATGTCAGACTTGACTTTGCAAGCCTGCGAAAGGAGATCCAAAGGAGATCAAGAGATCCATTCAGCACTGTAAGGTCTTGAGAGCAAGATTATGGCCTAGCCAAGATAACGACCGGAGGACCGGATTCATGTACTCAAAGCTACTGGTGACCAGCGGAGTGACACGAAAGAAACAGGGTTGCTAGCCTGAAGGCTAGCGCTGCTGAAGAGACAAGCGCCTGGTGGCGACGATGCTGCAGAGGCCAGAGGTGAGTGGACGCCTGATTGCCGACAGGTGGACCGCTTGGATATGGCCGGACCAAGTGCCTAGAGCGACTGATGAGAATATCATTCTGAGATCATAGCAGATTGGAGCCGCGCTTCATGACTGCTTCGTTCGATTAGATCCCCGCGTAGCGGGGAGTGCTTCTCCCCTTCAGGATGCAGAAGACGCTGAGGACAAGGCGAACAACGTAGTAAAGAAGCGGGACCGCTCCCACAAGCAGCAGGCAGAGCAGTTCGACCGGATGGCATGATCGATGGTTGAGGCTCAGTCAGGAATCGCTTCCCTCTATTAAATCCCGGCGCCCCTATTATGGTCCCAGGGATTCTCGTTTTCTTTGGGGAAATGTCTAGATGGCCACTGGAGGAGTAGACGTGTTTTTTTGTTAATCTTCTTTGTATTTATTTGTTATTGTTTTTTCTCATTTTTTATCGTTTTAATTGTAGACGGGCTCCCTTTTTTTTTCACCCTCCGAACTTGTTTTTTTAACCCTTCCTTTTTTTTCAACCCTCAAAACCTGCTTGGGAACCGTCGGCGGGAGCCTTGTTTCTCCAACCCTGAGAATCCTTTCTTTTCAACCCCTCACCTTGTTTTTTTCAACCCCTCACCTTGTTTTTTTCACCCTCTGCCTTGTTTGTTTCACCCTCTGCCTTGTTTTTTTCACCCTCTGCCTTGTTTTGTTTCACCCGCGAGCTTGCTTGTTTCACCCCGCAACCTTGTTTTTCTCACTCTAAACCTAAAACAACCTAAGCCCGCCCCGCACCCAACCCAACCCAAACCAACCCTAGGCCCGCCCTAAGCCAAACCTTGCCAACCCTCAGTATCTCTAAATCACTCAAACCAGCCAAACACGCCCAAACCCACCCCAAACCCACCCTACACTAAATCACGCTAAACGAGCCCTAAGCAAA